TTTTTTTTTTTTTTTTTGAGACAGAGTTTCAGTCCTGTTGCCCAGACTGGAGTGGAATGGCACAATCTTGGCTCACTGCAACCTCCGCCTCCCGGATTCAAGCGATTCCCCTGCCTCAGTCCCCCAAGTAACTGGGACTGTAGGCGTGCACCGCCATGCCTGGCTAATTTTTTGTATTTTAGTAGAGATGGGGTTTTACTACCTTGGTCAGGCTGGTCTTGAACTCCTGACTTCAGGTGATCCACCCGCCTCGGCCTCCCAAAGCATTGGGATTACAGGCATGAGCCACCACACCTGGCTGCATGTTCAGTTTTTAAATTCTTACTAGTGTCAACTTTTAAAAGTAAAAATTTCATATTGTGTTACATTGTGTTGGTTGCCATCAAGATGAAGATAGGGAAGTTAGGAGTTGGGGAAGGTGGAGATGAATGAAGTCAATTGATGGAGACTAGTAGAATGCAGTGTTTTTATTTATTTATTTTGAGACAGAGTCTCGCTATATTGCCCAGGCTGGAGTGCAGTGGCGCAATCTTGGCTCACTGCAGCCTTCGTCTCCTGGGTTCAAGCAATTCTCCTGGCTCAGCCTCCCAAGTAGGTGGGATTACAGGCATGCACCACTGGGCCTGGCTAATTTTTGTATTTTTAGTAGAGACGGGGTTTTGCCACGTTGGCCAGGCTGGTCATTTACTAATTCCACCTTACACTTGATACTAGAGTAGTGTTTACCCTAGCTGGTACTGATAAGTTATGTGATAGCAGCACCAAGGTGAAATGCAGGGGAGGTGTGAACATTGGAGTTTTCAGATTTTACTGATGGCTTTTACGAAGGGAAGAGACTCTAGACTCACTAGGTGTTTTTAGAAAAAAAAAAAAAAAAGGCAAGAGACAGAAGTCTTGTTCTGTTGAAGAGAAAATTATTAAATGTTCTTTTCTTTACTTGGGCTCTCTGATTGGGAGAGTGACCTGGTATGCTTCAATCTGTTTTCCTGCTCTGAAATAACAGCAGAATTCATGGCTCTTGGTTTAGGCAGCTTCAGCGTAAAAACCTGCTTAATATTATGCTATTTCAACCTACAGTGTACCTTTTTGGGTTGTTTTTTTTTTTTTTTTTTGGGACACTTTTTCTCTT